CCCAGGAGGGCACGGCTGGGCTGCAGCGGGCCATGCCGAAGGCTCCCAGTGACCAGCGGTGGGGACAGGCGGTGGGGGCGGGACACGGTCCCGCCTGGGCTTTGCCTGAGACACGGTCATTCTCGTCCCAGGTGGCCATGAGGGGCAAGGAGTCCCACCTACAAACAGGTCCATCGGCTGCAGGTGCCCGCACCCTCCATTCCTGCTGCAGAGACAGACGTGAGGACCACATGTGCTCCCCCACGGGGGTGCCCCCGAGAACACGGGACCCACCGTGGGTCCTGTCGGCCCAGGAGCGTCCCTCCAGCCACGGGACGCTGAAGGCGACCTTTCCCCTGAGAGCGGGCAGCACACCCGCCTGTCACCCCTTCAGCCTGGAGCCCGGACGAGCTCTCCCATCCCATCTGTCCGAGGAAGCAGAGCAGCAGAAAGCTTTCCGGACAGAGCATCTCCACGGAGGCTTCTCCTCCTCCCATCCCCAGGGAGGCCTCCCCTCTCCCCATCCCCAGCAGCGGCTGCTCGTCAGAGTCCCGGGAGGGGCTGGGAAGAACCCAGGTATCAACTCCTCGAGTAACCTCAATGTGCAGCTAAGCTTGAGAACCACTGGTCAAAACAGACATGACTAGCCCGGCCGGCGTGGCTCAGATATCTCCTCCCATCCCCACGGAGGCCTCTCCTCCTCCCATCCCCACGGAGGCCTCTCCTCCTCCCATCCCCACGGAGGCCTCTCCTCCTCCCATCCCCACGGAAGCCTCTCCTCTCCCCATCCCCACGGAGGCCTCTCCTCCTCCCATCCCCACGGAAGCCTCTCCTCTCCCCATCCCCACGGAGGCCTCTCCTCCTCCATCCCCAGCAGCGGCTGCACGTCAGAGTCCCAGGAGGGGCTGGGAAGAACCCAGGTATCAACTCCTCGAGGGACAATGTGCAGCAGCTAAGCTTGAGAACCACTGGTCAAAACAGACATGACTAGCCCGGCCGGCGTGGCTCAGATATTTTTTCCATTTATTTTTAGAGAGAGTGGAAGGGAGGGAGGAGGGAGAGAGAGAGGAAGGGCAGGGGGGAGAGAGAGAGAGAGAGAGAGAGAGAATGAATCATCAATGTGAGAGGCACATCAATTGGTTGCCTCCCGCACGTGCTCAGACCTGGGCTGGGAACTGAGCCTGCAACCACCTGGTCCACAGGCCGGCGCTCTAACCACTGAGCCCACCAGCCAGGCCCAATTCTTTTCTTTGCTGCTGCTGACTTGAGTTAAAGAGCCTCTCCTAGTCCTTGTCCAAGACTGGTGGGCAGCTCCTGGCCCCTCACCCACATTCACACTGCGGTCACCAGAGGAGAAGGCAGCCCCGGGGGCAGCACCCTCATCTGCGTGCCTCGCGTTCATCACGCCAAAGTGACAGGCATCAGGCCCTGCCGGACATTCCCGGTGACAGCTCTTCTCAGCGCCAGCTCCTCAGCGAGGTGCCACCTGCCACACGCAGGCCGCCGCTGGGCACCCACCCGTGCCTCCTGCAGCCACAGCCCCACTTCACAGTCTTCCCAGCAGAAACAGAGACCTGTCACCCCCACCCCACCCCTACCCTCACCCTCCCACCCTCACCCTAGACGGAGAAAGCAGAGGCACAGGCGTAAATGACTAAGTTACTTTTTCTTCTTTGAAAAATCAACCTAAAAAGTTAACCTATTTGGATACCAAATTGTATCTCAAGTAAAATCTCACCTCTCTCCTTAAAAAGAATAAAACAGTCTTTATGCCAAAGCAGGGGATGGGATGACGAAGCTCCCTACCCCCAACTGCTTTTCCCCTTCACGCCGGTTTAATAACTGTTTAGAACGAGCATTATTACCTTTAAAATCAGAACGCAAATAGAACAAACCAAAGTTAACCCACTATGCACAAGGGAAATCTAATAACCATTCGAACACCCGGCATTCACTGCCCCCGTGAGGGTCTCACTTCCGCAGGGTTTCAGGGAGGAGCGACCGGTGTTCACACCGGACAATGTTGGACGGGTCCAGCTCCAGAAACGCGTCAGGGGAGGGCTGGCCCGGTGACATGTCCGCGTCCCAGGGAAACTCACGCGAAGGCAGGAGCAGACCCTTCGCTGGGGGACCCTGGCCACGTGCAACTTGGTCCAGGAATCAGGTTGGGGGCCCGCCAGGCTCCTCTGACGGCCCGGACTGGGGTCGTCGGCACTTCCCTGAGCGCTGGGAGTCCCCAGCCGTGCAGCCTTCAAGCACAAGCCAGGTCTCCCCCCGGCTCCCGCCCCTGGGCGCCGCCTCTGTCCTCCGCAGGCCTCGGCCGCTTCCGCTCTGGGGGGCTGACCTGCATGTCTCCAGGCGGCTCTGAAACGTTCACCGACAAGGCTGCCAAGTAAGCAAGACTTAAGTTAAGAGCCGATGCTACACAACACATCCTGGCCCTGGCTGGTCGACAAGGCTGCCAAGTAAGCAAGACTTAAGTTAAGAGCTGATGCTACACAACACAACCTGGCCCTGGCTGGTCTGGCTCAATGGACAGAGCATTGGCCTGCGGACTGAAGGGTCTAGGGTTCGATTCCGGTCAAGGGCACATGCCCGGGTTGCGGGCTTGGTCCCCAGCGTGGAGCGTGCAGAAGGCAACTGATCGATGCTTCTCTCTCATCATTCATGTTTCTATCTTTCTCCCCCTCTCCCTTCCTCTCTGAAATCAATAAAAATATATATATTTTAAAATTCTGTGCCCAGACAAGGAGTAAACTGCCTGGCAGGTCCTATGTGCCTAGAATGGAGAGTCTACACCAGTGGATCTCAACCCCAGGGACACTGTGCCTCCCAGGACAGCGGGCGAGCTGGTGACATGTTAGTGTCAGGAGTGGGGGGGATGGGAACATCTGGGGGTGCTAAAGAACACGCTGCCACACAGGACAGCCCCACCACCAAGCCTGACCTGCCCAGCATGTGAGCAGCACCGAGGCCGAGAGGCACCCCAGCACCCCCTGCTGGCAGCACCCAGCCCCCTGTGCTCCCGGGGAAGCGGGCTCCCCCGAGAATAAACAGGCCAGTGAGTCTGCAGGGGGGGCCAGGTCAGGTGCATCCTCGCTTTCTCAGAACCGACATAAAATTAGCGGACGTTCATTTCCAAAAGAACAAAAGGGAAGATATTCTGCCCTTGAGGACATGGAACCAGGACCAGATCCCTCACCTGGCTGGACCTCCGTGGGCGGGGCGGAAACCACACCGCCTGGCGCAGAATTCGGGGCGTCCGTCTTCAAGGGCATCACGGTCACTCTCCTGATTAGAAGGGAAGGGCACATGGTGAATCCGTGTGGTAGGAACTGTGTCTGACACCACATTCCAAAACCACCCAGAGGAGGCGCCTGAGGTAGCAGCTGGTCATGTCTCGCAAGGCGTTACATGCACCGAGACGCGCCCGCGGGCTTAGTGACCAAGGATCACGCTGGTCACGTGACGTCACCACCGCGCTGACGTCACCATAGCCCTGACGCCAGCTTACCCCTCAGCCGGCCACCAGTGTGCGCCCAGCCCTGCTCAGAAGGCTTCCCCCTACAGGCCGTTCTTTCTAAAACCCACAACCTCAATGTCCAACAACTATTCCTTTTTCAAAATTAACAACTGCAAGAAGCTTGCAAGACACTAAGCAGGGAAAACTTAAATACCCCAAATATTTCACAAAACACCTTCCCCTCCGCCCCGAAAACACACAGAAGAGAAACCAAGCATCGCCGGTCTGCAGAGACCCGACTCGGGGCCAGACACCCCCAACCCCTGCGGTGGACCGGCCAGCGAAGTCACGTGAGTGAGCAGTGCTTCCAACACCTTCTGTCACCTCCGCCCCCCGCCCGGCGGCCCCCAGGCAGTCTGTCTAGACAGAAGGTGCAGTCTGTCTAGAAGGCCGGGAGGTGGGGCACCGGTGAGCAGGCAGCAGATGAAGCCGGGAGGTAACTTCCCCGACGTCCAGGGAAGCAAAGAGGCAGCAC